AGAAAAAGAAGAAGATTCAAAATATAGTGGTAGAATAAAAACTGTTTTCTTTTTCTTAATTTATTTATTTTGGACATCATTTACTTTTTTTTTTTTAAATGAAATATCATTTACTAAGATAAGATTTCTTAAATAAATATTTTATTTGAAATACATATTAATATTTTAATTACTAAATTTCAGACTTTTTATTAATGAAAATTTAGTGACTAAAAAATAAAAAATTAAAAATTAAATACAAGAAATTAAATTAATCGCGCCTGTAAGCACTTGATTACTTTTTTACGTATTTAACAATGACAAGATGTAGGCATTTGAGATGTATTTAATTATATATCTTACTATTCGTATTAAATTCATATCCGCTTCAATTTTTTTTTATCAGCAAATATAAGTTTATTATTATTAGAATAGAAAATATGTAGAGCAAGTAGGAAAAACTCCCCTACTACATCTAAGCCAACAAGCTTTTCCTCTTACATTCTCAAAATTTAGACTCGGAAAAGAGGAGAAAAGCCTACTGCAGATACAAAAATAAAACCACAACATAAACGTAACTAATAAGAGACAGAGATAGAGAATTAAAATCAAATCGGCTTCTTTTTATGAGTGAAGAAAAGAAGCAAAGAGCTAGTAAGTGAGATTAAAGCGAAATTAAAAAAAAAAAATTCAAAATTGAACCCGACGTGAATCAAAGAGCTATTACCTCTGTTTTATAATACTTGTCATTTTTAAAATTTCATGTCACTTAAGAAAACTATTAAATTTGTCTAAGTTACAATAAATTATTGAGTAAATTGCTTATATTACCCTTAATTTAATATTAATTTTCTAAGTAATCATTAAATTGAAGTAATAATTATTAGTCATATATAAAAGGTAAACATGCAAAAAAATATTTATTACTCCTTGAAACCACAAATATGATAAATATTTTGGAACAAACTATTTTTTCAAATGTGACAAGTTTTATAAAACGGAAGTAGTAGCAAGTGAAATTAAGAGTCCGTTTGGAATATACGAATTCCATAAAATTTTATGGAATTCATTTGGAAACCAAAATGTTGTGTTTGAAATGAAAAAAAAAATATAGATTTAAATTCTACGAATTGAATTTCATGGAACTGGGTATGCCTAACTCAAATTCTACTGATTGATAGAATTTGTCAACGAATTTTATAAAATTGACCATTGAAATATTTATTGACAAAATTACCCTCCACTATAAACTCAACTATTTTTACTTTTTTCCCTTTTTGTTTATTTTCTTTGGAAAATTCTAAACTATAACAATGTTATTTTTTTTTAAACAAATAATGAACGTTAGTTTATATTTTTATTTTATTTCCTTCTTGTTTTTTTTTTTTTTTTTTTTTTTTTTTTTTTTTTGTTTTTTTGAAAATTTCAAACCAGTGACTTTTTTTTTTTCTTTTTGAAAGTCTTTTTTTTTTTTTTTTTTTTGTTTTTGAAAAATTTCAAACCAGTGACTTTTTTTTTTTCTTTTTGAAGTCTAGAAATAATGTTAGTTATTATTATTGTGAAACTATAAAAACTGAGCATTAACAATTGTTTGAAATGTAATTAAAAACAATAATAATATTTTTAATATTTTTTAGTTTCCAAATTAATTACTTAAATCAATAAAATTTTTACATCAATTAAAAATAATAATCATGATGAATGTTATGTCGAGTGTGTTATAAAAAATAAAGCCAAGTGAAAATTTTCATTTGAGAATTTATTTCAAACATAATTTTATAGAATTTAATTAAATTTTTTATTTTAAATAGTAGCGTACTAAACATGACAAATTCATTTACAAATGAATTCTACTTGGAAGTTATTTACAGATGAGTTGTACAATCATAATTCATTTCTTCCAAACGCACTGGAAATCTAAATAAAAAAAATAGGAAATTGAACCCAATGTGAATCAATGAGATTAAAGCCAACCTAAAAAAAAGATTACAAATTGAACCTAAAGTGAAACACACACGCCACCTTCTAATTTGAAGTCAGACGCGCTACCATTACGCCACAGATCCACGAGTTTATTTCCGTACCAAATATAATTAAGACAATTTTATCGTTTGCATACAAGTAGTTTTAATACATTTACTTAGTAATTTTTAATAATAAATTTAATAATAGTAATGAATGATTATAATTTTGTCTAAGTATTAAAAAATTTCTATTTATCAATTAAATATTTTATAATTTAATTAGAAATGATAATTTTGCATAAAAGTATCAAAATTCAATTTAACTAAAAAAAAAAAAAAACTAGTGTTATCTATACATATATCAAAATTTTTTAATATTTATGTATTCACATAATTAAATACAAACTGACTCAAAATTATAAGAATAATAATTGAAATACCAGCTAGTTGGTTTATTAGTGTATGAAATGTTAAAAATATTTTATTGATTCAGAAATAAAATTTTCCTACGAAGCAATCTGGGTAAAAAAAAAAGAATTTTTTTTCTCATGAAAAATTGGTCAATATTTAGAAATACATATAAAAAATGGTGAACCGAGTTTAGCCACGTGATAATTTGCATGCAATAATTGACAATAAATTGTTTTTTCTTTAAATAAAATTCGGCATTGTTAACAAATTAATGCTTTAAGGGATATATCAAATATAATTTTATATGAAAATTTTTATAAGAAAAAAGAAATTAAATTAAATTAATTCTCAAATTTTCATATTTAACTTGTAAAAATGAAATATTAATTAATATAGATCAATTTTAGTCATTTTTATTAGAAAAACACATCAAAATAACAACATTAACCAAAGACATCATTGTTTTTTTTTTTTTACTCCACAATAATTCTCAAACACACAAAATTATATTGAAAACCCATTAAAATATAGGATCTGTTTTCACGAAAACAGAAAACCTCGTTCTTGTTAGGTTAAATAGTGATTATTTTATTTTCATTCTTAGGTTTAGTGGTGAAAGTCAAAGGCAATGAGTGGCAGCCACACTACTTCCAAAACGCACTTTTAAGTATAATAAGTCGTGGGGTGTTTGTGGGAAAAGGCGGTGTCAATTACTTTTAAGTCATTAGCAACAAAAATATTTTTATGCTAAGTTAATTTAATAAAGATATTTCTTTTCTTAATAACAATAAACAACAAAAAAGAAAAAGAAAGACTAACGATTGTAAACCACACTAGCTGCATTATGAACAATCAAAGGAATAAGTTCTAAAGGAGCGGCCTCCAAAATATGAACACCTATCATCATAAACTAATATAAATTTTCTAAATCACAATTAATTTTTTTTAAACTACTAGTATTCGGATCCTATTACTAGATATCAACTAATCTAGATCAGGGTTTAAGTCACAGTCAAAACTCTTCGCCTCTCATACAAATGTATTTAGTGAGAATTGAACTCGAGAGCTTTTTCCACATCAACCTACATTGTCAATTGAGCCACAACTCGTAGATAATACCTGTTAACTATTTGATTGTAGATTTACTTATACATGGGTAGACAAATATTTTTCTATCCATATATAATGAGTTCATGCGAAATCTCCTAATTAATGTAAATAAAAATTGTCTTAGGTATAGTATGATTTTCTTTATAAAGAATTGATGGTAATTGGACAAAATGCATTAGAAAGAAAATAAAACATCAACTTTTTGGATTATATATTAGAATTTTGAGTTGTTTTTTATACTTGCACGACATGTCTGTGTCCATTTTAACTGTCCACAGTAAATTTGACTAATCTCTGCTCGCCTTTAGAGGCAAAGGGACTGACCCATGGGAGTTTACGTTGCGGAAGATCGAACTCATGACCTCTCGCTCTATTATATATATAGCTCTATTATATATTTATATATAATATAATATATAATATTAATAATAATTAATTTATATATATATATATATTATATATATATATATATATAGCTGAACAAAAATAAAATTTAAGACTTTCTTTGTTCAGCATTCTATTTTTTCTTCATAAGCTGAAACAAAAATAAAATTTAAGACTCTTTCTTTGTTCAGCATTCTATTTTTCTTCTTTTTTTTTTTTTATTTTGATTGACGACTTAATTTATTTGTTTCAATTTAATATTTAGTATATAATACCGATAATTATTAAATTTTTGAAACCTAATCTAATCTGATCATCTAATCCAATCCGCGCCAACTTTAATTTTTAAATATTTGAGTTGTTTTAGATTGGGCATTCGTAGTTATACACGCATCAACGCATCAGAAACTACAACATGCGAGAGGGCCGACCTCTTTCTTTGCAGGTTTGTTTGTATCAGTTGCTTTCTAATTAAAATTTTCATTTCAACTTTGCAATCCTCCTATGTCAATATGGAAAAATAAAATAGCAGAGAGTGACCTCTCCCGATGGGTAACTGTTTCACTGGTCTTTTTTTCTTGCAGGTTTTCGACTAGTTTATAATATATGCCTAATGAATGTAAGGCATCATGAAAATGTGTGTTTGAGAGGCAAAGTGTTGTTCTAGATTTTTGCTAGTTTAGGGACAGAATTTATTTGGTTTTTCACCTTATTCGGACATGTATTCTGCTTGAACAACTTCTCAATTTATATTTTATTTTGGGTGAAAGTCAAATGCAACTAATAATGTTGCATTCGCACCAAATCAAAATATAATAAATTAATTAAAAGCATGTCTACCCACACTAAAGTATAATAAGTAAACCACAGCAATAATATTTGCTTTCATAATGGATTTTTTATAACCTATCAGTAGCCCAAGTTATACTTTGCTTTGCTTATCAGTGGAGAGGGTGCCTTTTTTTTTATTAATTATTTAATTGATATTCAATTAAAACCATTGATTAAATAAAACTTATTGTGCCTTTAGGACATGATTTTGAGTCACAATATTTAATTTACCTAATTTATTCAGCACCATCGCAATCAAATTTCAAATTGTACAAGTAAATTCATATATATATTCTATGGTTCTCGTCAATTTTCCGATGAGAATTCTTAAAAAATCCGGCACATATATATACTTGAAATTCCAACTTTTTTCCCACAAGAGGTGAAAATAGAAATTCATAAAATATTACAGAACTTGACTCAAGAAATGCACAAGCTAAAATTAACACATGAAAAGGGAAAAGCACAAAATATTACAGAACTTGACTACACTAGAGTTAATTAACAGTGAACTATAATAAAGAAAACTAGTTCACATGTTATGGCAACATAATACTAATATTTACACTTCTAGTTGTTGCCGGCTAGGTCTTGCTGGTTTCTGATTTTCCGGTGAATCTGTAGGGTTCTCATCTATTGTAATAACAACATGATCATTTTCACCATCCAGGACAGGATTTACTGTTCCCCGGTGAAGCAGTAACTGAGATTTACTCTCTGGTGAAACAGTAGCTTCAACATTCTTGAAATGTGCTAAGTTAGCTAGTTCTTCGACTGACTCAGCTAATTTATCAACACATTTCACAACTTCAACTAATGTTGATGCAACTGTTGCAGCTGGAACTATTGCGAAGAGGTCTGCTTGCTCTAATGAGCTTGCTTTTAGAATTACTTTCAGTTCATTAATGGCAGCTTTTGAATTCTCTACATGAATGCTTGCTGGGGATGGATTAGTCATTGTTTTAATTGATGAGGCTAGTGATCTTAGTGCCTTGCTTGATTCTTCACTCATCTTTATGCATGATTCTTGAATTTTACTCTGAAATTCCTCCGGCACCTGCAAAGAGTAGCTTCTGTAAGTTTAATTGTTTAAGTTGAATAAATAAATAGCATTAGAATTATATTCAAATATGTGTGGTTGAGGTTCAAATCCTAATTGAAAAGTAATTTTAAATTTAAAATTTTTTACCCTTTTTGATTATTTTAGAAAGGAAAGTACTTGTAAAATCTTTATTTATGGAAGAAGATACCTTTAAAAGTGGTTTTGTATGGTGATTTCATCAAAACACTTTGGATGGTGCATATACTTTTGGGATTGCATTAAATATACAAGAAAATCTTCAAGAAATTAAGAATGTCAACATCATTCCAAAAGACTAATTTTAGGGTATTCTTAATCTAAATGGAACCATGAGCTGTTAGGTTATTGTCTTTGTTGTGATATATAATATAAAAGCTGAATGTAAAGGTGGCTGTAACTTTAGAATGGAATCAAATGCATGGAATATATTGGTCAAGTTATGCCATTATTATTCTTTTCTTTAATTTTTTTTATGTATCAAGAAAAAGAAATATGAATAAAGTTGTGGTAGATCAATTACTTGGACATTAGAGTTGATGCAACTATTTAGAGCTTCAATGAGGTATGCACATTGTCTTGAGATAGCTCCAATCTTCAAGTATTGCTTCCATGGATGCCGAAAGCCGAAACGGCCATGTCCAGGCTCCCATCTTGCAAGATTTACCTGTAATATTCCGAAGCATTAAATCGATTAGCTTACCTATAGTTAATATATAAATCGATTAGCTTACCTATAGTTAAATATATATATATATAATAATATATATTATATATATATATATATATGCAATCTATTGTGATGGAGGAAGAGAAGCAATTCAAGAATATATATGCATCTATTTGTGATGGAGGAAGAGAAGCAATTCAAGAAAAGTGCAGAAGTTAGTGGTTCTCATGCGAAGACAAAAAGAAAAGTGCAGGTTAGTGGAGAATCTTTAATTACCATGGAATCTTCAGTGGATTTTGAATTGAGTACACTTTTATATCCTTGAAGAAACGATTTTTCCGTACTGGATACCGTAATATCTTCTTTCTCTAAGCACTCAAAATATTCACCTCCAAAACCTGAGAATTATTTGTCATAATCTAATTATAATATGTACATAAATAAGTAAATAAATAAAAGCAATTAAAGAATATATACAAATTTTAATTGAAATATATGTAGTTTATTAATGAATTACCTTCAAGAAAGCTTGCTAGCTTATCTATGTTGGAAGCAACCAACTTATGAAGATCTTCACCAGCCCAAACTGGACAGATACAGATAGATACAACTATGCAGGTTGCTCCTCCTACTATTATTGTTGATAGTCTTTGATGAGCCAATTGTAAGATTTCTTCTGCTCGAATTCCAGAAACTGATACTAAACTGAACGTTAATATAAATATCAACACTCCATAGTCATATCTTGCTTTGATTCTTGGGAAGAATCTTGTGAATGTAGACGCTGCAGCTGCATAAAGCCAATTAAGTTGCATGTAAGTGAATAATCTACATACTAGGCACTCAGAGTCATTTCGAAAGTTTTTTGAGTTTATAGTTTTAAACCCTAGCCGGAAAAGAAAGAAAGAAATTGTTTTTATAGTTTATAGACATACCCAATAGGAAAACAAGAAATCCAAGAACGATGGGTTCTCCTTTGTTTCCAAAAAGACTTGCTAATTGTTGAGCTCCAACCCCTAAAGCACCAGCTAGAAATGTTGCAAAGCCTCTATTCAAACTCTTGCACAAGGTTCCACCTACACAAAGAAGAAAAAAAATGTACAAATTAATGCATTGCTATCAATTTCAAACTTTTAATGATCATGGATTGAATGATTGAGAATTTAATTAATTAATTATCAACCATCGATTGAGTTATCGAGATATTAATTAATTGATGATCATTGATCGTTTGATCAAGAACCAAATTGATTGAAGTAGTGATTCAAATTAATCGCTAAAATAGAAGAGTGCACTCAATTCCTTACCTACAGTGAACTCAAAAACTACTACCACAGTTAGAACAGCCCACATTCCTGCAACTCCAAAGCCATCATAGAGAGTCCTAGAGTAATATAATAAGGACACCAATGTAAGAGCAAGTCCCACTTTAAGGGAATGAACGATCCTTCTTGGGTCATCTTGTCCAACCTTTTTGATGTTCTTAGCAACACTGATCACCTTAGCCTTGGACTTGGAAGGCAAGGCCTTAAGCCAGCCCCATGCACGTTCGAAAGGCCCAGCCTTAAGTTCTTGAGTAGCAGACTCAATCTCCATGGCTGAACAAATGTGCAAGAAACTAATTAAAGAGAAGGAATTAGTTCCTTTACTTGTAAGTAAGTTGAGAGAGATTAGAAAGAAGGAGAGGAAAAAGAGAAGTTAGGAAATAGAAATGCCCTTGGAGAGGGAACGTGATCACCAACCCTATATTTATAATAGCTAAAAGAGAGGGCACTATTCCTAAGAGTTTCAGATTGAATAAGACCCAAACGTAGAATCCGTCGGCCGGAAAGTTGACTTCTTTTACTCCTTGGAGGAAAAGCCAAATATTTTGTAGGTTTAAATTAATTAATACACGTGTTAATGTCCTTTGTAGGTTTAATTAAAGGACAAATATTTTCTTTGAGAAAATAATTTCCCTTTCCTAAAAATGTAGATGACTAGGATTTAATTTTATTTTAATTTAGTTACCTTTCCATTAATATTTATTTATTATTGTCTAAACTAAAATATATTATCTTTAAACAACCTTGGATCTAAACAATCTTTTTAACTAATTAATTCACTATACAAGCAAAAAAAAAAAAAAGCAGCCCATGATTCATTACCTAAAATTTTTCAGCCCACACTAGACAGAACAAATAAGAGTTTAACCCACTAAAGCTATATGAGCTGAAAATGAGCTAATATAGCTATAAATAGGCTTTTTCTTGTGCTCTTATAAGACCCATAAAAAAAAAAAAAAAAAAAAAAAAAAAAAAAAAAAAAAAAAAAAAAAAAACCTATAGCTAGTCAGTTAGGTCTAGCGATATATGCACTGTAACCCACTACTTGAGAAATTGAAATTTGATCTTTCCAAGTAGTTTCTTTCTGTAGTGAATAGCACTGTTTCTGTCTAGTTTACAAAGTAAAAAAAATTCATAAAAAGTGGGATTTAATGGGAATTAGTGGAAGGCATGCATGCATTTCTTCAAAAAGACTTTGATACCTAAAATAAATTAACCATTTTTCTGACTTGTGATTAATTAATACCTCAACTTGGTAAAAAAAAATAAATATTTACAGTACTAATTAAGTTGAATTTTAAGTACTGGAATTCACAAATTGGAAAAGTCTGATCAATCAGCATTGGGGAATATTTATTAATTAATTAATTAAACTGATTAAATAATTAATATAGGCAAGTGAAGTCCAACAAAACTAAGAAAAAAAAAAAGAAAAAGAAAAAAGAAAGGCAAAGAAATAGGTCACCACTATGCAATGCTACCAGTTTGAGAGATAAAATTACTTCACATTGGATTTTAGTGACAACAGCATGACAATGAGATAAGGGAAAAAGCAAAAAGAAAATAAAAGTTATTTAAAAAAAAATTAAAAGAGAAAAAAAATAAATCCTAATTAATTAGACATAATAAAAAAATTAGTTACTAAGAATCCTCCATGTTATCTTTTTCCCTTTTAACTATTAATTAAGAATTAATAAAAGAAACATACATTTAAATGTTTTTAGCATTTGGGTTTTCGTTGAATTACACATATTTTTAATTTCTATTATAATCTCATATACATATATTATATAATATAATGTATTGACTTTATATATGTATCTCTAGATTTACTATCAGGTTGGCAAGGTCAGCAAATCACTAGTGAGTAGGATCTGACACGATCATATGATTCTTTCTTTTGAATTTCTCACAGTACTTGATCGATCTTAGCCAAAAACAAAAAACAAAAATTGGGGAACCAATAAATTTAAGATCGGTAAGGCCCTGTTTACCGAACTCTATTTTTATTAATTGTATCACTCATAACATAACTTTTAGAGTTAGAAGAAGCTTTTTAATTTTCATAAAACGTTAAATACTATAATGTTTAATGTTTAACTTTTAATTAAATTTTTTGATAATTATACTCATTGTTTTTTTTTTCCCTTCAAATTTAGCTAATTAAACAACTAATGTCATTTTTTATTATTTTAAATAAAACAACTATTTTCATCGAACAATTCTACTTTAAACCGATATATAAACAACTACCATCTAAAAATAAATAGTTACTATAATAACTATTAAAACAACTAATATTACAGAACAGATTCTAAGGGAAAATGAAAAGAAAAGCATGAATGACACTCACTTTCTTGTTCTTGTTTTGTTTTTTTTTTTTTCCTAACTACCAATATGTTTTCTTTCCTTTTTTACATATATTACCAAAAAAGAATGCATATGTAAAGCAAGTTCTCAATATATGAAAGAGTTCCAAAATTCGCCACAATATGAATCAAGTTGCAAAGGCATATATGAACATGTGGATGAAATTGAAATACTCAATGGCAAATGATGATAGATCTATAAGAGGGAAACAGCAAAGCAAGAGCTAGATACAATGCTTCAATTCTATTTTTATATTTATTATCCAAATGTTATCCATACTTTATTTCCATTTTTCTTTTCCTTTTGTTTTTTCTTAGTATACTAGGAATATAGGACTTTTGTTTTTTTCTTCTTTAGTGTTCTAAAATTTTGATTTTGATTGATGAAGCATTAAGAGCTCCACATTCTGATGTGTATTTTGTTTTAGATTATCTATATATATGATATATTCTATATATAATATATATATATATATATATATATATATATATATATATATTCTTCTTTTAATTTGAACATAACAGTACTTTATATATATTCTTCTTTTAATTTTGACATAACAGTACTTTATGGATGCTTCATTCCTCCTTTGTGATACATTACCCTACTTATCTATCTAACTCAAATACTGGCAAGCTTTTTCTTTTGTGTGTGGGAGGGCATTATTGTAATTGTTTTTATATCTCAAGTCATATTTATCTATCAATTTCAACCTTTGAAATTTAAGCAAAAATTTCTATTAGGTACCTATATTATGCCAGATTAATCATTTCATCCTTTATTTTTTTTAAAAAAAAAAGTATATGCATCACTCCATTCCTAATATTCGATTCCATCAACTATTAATTGGTTCTTTTTGTCACTTTGAAGCTTAAATATTTTGTGAAAAGATGAAAATACCCTCTCCTTTTATAAGACTTGACGAAAGTATTTTCATTTTTCTCACAAGATATAATAGAAAAGTATATAAAATAGTGACGGAAGGACTACAGATGAAGTAATATATTTTTAAAAAAGCAAGGACAGATGGACTAATTTTGACGTGATATAAGAATTAGTAATTTTTTTTTCTAAATTTAATTAAACGCCAACAATGGCGAAATTGGATTTCAAAGTTAGGGGGATAAAATATTGAATGCATAAGTAAATAGTCTTTGATTTGATTTTAGAGTTTAAAATATTTAAGAACAAAAGAAAACAAATTATGAAAATTAGGTGTTACTCAAGACATATTGTAAAACCTAATATTCGAATCACTTAAATAATTTAAAATATTAAATTCTAGAAAAAAAGAGTAAAAAAAAAAAACTATAATGCAGCTCTGACCTTTCAATTACTCAAAAATTATTATGGGCACCATGAGAAAAGCCTGGCACTTAAAAAGGCATACAGACTAGTGGCTCATGGCACGCCATAATTTGGAAAGCCTGTGTGATCTATGTTTTTGTCAAATTAGTTAAAAACACACAATTTGGTAATACCATTTGACTTTCATCTATTGCTACCCACACGTAAAATGATGTCCCTTCTTTCAAGTTTTAAAGTAAACAATCAGCCGTACAATATTTGCTTTTTAAATCAATTTATCTTAATTATGTTGATGTTAGAAAAAATTATCAATTTTTTTTATACATAGAAGGCCCAATAGACCGAAATAATATTGCGGGTTACATAGTAGGAGACATCCCTCTCCTTTGAATAACATTCACCAAATTTGTAATAACTTTTATAATGGAAAGGTCTTGACTTTCACTCCCTACATTTTCTACAAGAATCAACAAGACCAATCAAACAACACCTGATTGGCACAATTATCAATTATATATCACTAATTGAGTGCTTTAAATTTATTTCTATCAATATAAATTCTTAAAATGGAATGCGGAATTTTGTTTTTTTTTTTTTACTAATTTATGCAAGATTAGAGGATAAAAAAAAGAAAAAGATAAATGATTAGTTATTTAATTTTGCCAATAACTTGTTTATGTTATGTTTTCTTTTTACTATTGCCTATTCTAATTTAGACATTGTTATTGAAGACTATAGGTCTATTTTCAGTTGTAGAACCAATATTTTAATTCGATGGATTAGAAGACAAGCTTACGTATGAACTTAAATTCTTGTTAGAGCATTTTCATGTTAGTTTTCAGAATTGTAATGTAGTTCCTAGCTGCTTTTATTCTTCTCATTTATTTTCTTAATGAAATCCTATCCTTCAAGGGAAAAAAAAAAAGATAATGAATTAGTATGCAAATAATAATAATTAGTTGCTGGTATTTATATGCTGAGAAAATTCACTTGAAAGAGGTTCTCGCTTCAGCGCCTGAAAGCACTTCAAAGAAATTAATCTTTATCTTTGAGATGGAGCCTGACACACACTCCGAAATTAAAAGTAAGATGCTGAATTTCATTGTTTTGTTATTAATTTATGTAATATAGGAAGATATAGAAATGATAAATAAATTGTTTTTATTAGAAATTTGATTCACTAAATCTATAAATCAACACGTTTAAAGATTAATTCGTTTTATAAAGAAAACGCGCTTTAAATAAAAAATGGAAGGTATAGAAGATTTATTTGAATTGATTTTGATTAACCATTAAGCATTATGGAGGATCACATCACACAATTTTGATCACCAATAAACCTAATGCTTCTTCCAATAAACCTAACTAATAAAATATCATGCATGAACTACAGTACTAACAAAAACATATAGCAATGGCATTTTATTTTATATTATCTATTAACTAATTATATATATATTTTTTTTTGGCCGGAAATTTGTCATTTAGCTCTATTTAATGAGGTTATAAATATTATTATATAATTATTGTTAAGCAAATTAATACTGTACAAAATCTTGAGATTATTAATTAAGAGAAGCCCTTAAGATTCCAAATATCTCTAATTTATTAATATTAATTATAATTAGTGCGTTTTTATAAGTGGGTGAAGCTTTTTAGCTTGAACCCATCTTTTATTTCATTATTTTATATTGTTTAACCTAT